TGTCTCTTCATTTGTACTCCTGTGTTGCTATGATACCGGGTGCCACTGTGCTGTCACCATGACAACAATTACGTACCTCATTGTACTTCTCGCTTACGTGAGCCTCCCGTGTCTCAATGTCTCGGCCGTAACATGTGCATCTTACTTGAGATGCCGACGCATCTTCAACTCAATCTGAGCAGCGCACAGCTCGAGAGCAATGCACTGTTCGAGAGCAACGCACAGCTCAAGAGCAACACACAGCTCAAGAGCAACGCACAGCTGGAGCAACGCAATCTGAGAAGCGCAATCTCATCAGCAAACTGCTGGACAGCGCACACTCTGTCAGAGCAGCACAATTGAGAGCAGCGCAATTGAGAGGAGCGCAATCGAGAGGAGCGCTCACTCTGCTGGAGCAGCACAATCGACATGAGCGCAATCAAGACGAACGCAATCGACAGGAGCGCAATCGACAAAAGTGCAATCAACAGCAGCTCAATTGATAGGAGCACAATCAAGAGGAGTGCAAGCGACAGGAGTGAGCACTCTGCTGCAGCAGCGCAATCGAGAGGAGCGCAATCACGAGCAGAGCAGGAGAGAGGAGCACAATCGAAAGGAGTGTATTCAACAGGAGCACAATCGAAAGGAGCGCAATCGACAGGAGCGCAATCTACAGGAACGCAATCGAGAGCAGAGCAGGAGAGAGGAGGTCTATTGACAGGAGCGAAATCGACAGGAGCGGAATCGACAGGAGAGCAATCGACAGGAGCCAAATCGAGAGCAGAGCAGGAGAGAGGAGGTCTATCGACTGGATCTCAATCGACAGGAGCACAATCAGGAGGAGTGCCATTAAGAGGAGTGAAATCGAGAGGAGCGCAATTGACAGGAGCGCAATCGAGTGAAGAGCAGCAGAGAGGAGCGCAATTGACAGTAGTGCAAGAGAGAGCAGAGCGAGAGAGAGGAGCGCAATTGAGAGGAGCGCAATCGACAGGAGTGCATTCAACAGGAGCTCAATCAAGAGCAGTGCAATCGAGAGGAGCTCAATCGAGAGCAGAGCAGGAAAGAGGAGCGCAATCAAGAGGAGCGCTCACTCTGCTGCAGCAGCACAATCTAGAGGAGCTCAATCGAGAGCAGCGCACACTTTGCTGGAGCAGCACAATCAAGAGGAGCGCACTGCTGGACAGTGCTCACTCTGCTGGAGGAGCACAAGTCGAAGGAGCATAAGACTAACCATCATTTCAAACCCGATCTAACATTTGGAGCACATTGACCGACATTTATTTTTGACATCAGATTCAATCTAACATTCTTGAGACGCGTCTAACATTTTGTGACCTCTATTTTGACCTAATATTTTCGCACCTTTTGTTAAATATGTGTTCTTTGTTTCGATCTAGTATTTTGCGCACATTACTGATACTTTGAAAACATTATTTCGATCTAACCTTTTTGGCATGTGACCTGTGTTATGTAACACCTAGCCCTAGCCCTAGCCGGTGTGTCTTGCTTGCGGGCAACGCACAATTGCGCTCCGCCAAATTCGAAATTCACGCGACTGCGTTGACCCCCAACGCACTCGAAATTTACACTGCTCAAGTGCCGCAACGCAAACAAATTTATTTTTGCTGGAGCAGCGCAAATTGAGCAACGCACAGCTGGAGCAACGCACTCACAGCTGGAGCAACGCACACTCTGCTGGAGCAACGCAATCTGAGCAGTGCACAGCTCGAGAGCAACGCACTGTTCGAGAGCAACGCACAGCTCAAGAGCAACACACAGCTCAAGAGCAACGCACAGCTGGAGCAACGCAATCTGAGAAGCGCAATCTCATCAGCGAACTGCTGGACAGTGCACACTCTGTCGGAGCAGCACAATTGAGAGCAGGGCAATTGAGAGGAGCGCAATCGAGAGGAGCGCTCACTCTGCTGGAGCAGCACAATCGACATGAGCGCAATCAAGACGAACGCAATCGACAGGAGTGCAATCGACAAAAGTGCAATCAACAGCAGCTCAATGGACAGGAGCACAATCAAGAGGAGTGCAAGTGACAGGAGCGAGCACTCTGCTGCAGCAGCGCAATCGAGAGGAGCGCAATCACGAGCAGAGCAGGAGAGAGGAGCACAATCGACAGAAGCGCAAGAGAGAGCAGAGCAGGAGAGAGCAGCGCATTCGAAAGTAGCGCAAGAGAGAGCAGAGCGAGAGAGAGGAGCGCAATTGAGAGGAGTGCAATCGAGAGGAGAGCAACCGAGAGGAGCGCAATCGGGAGCAGAGCAGCAGAGAGGAGCGCAATCAAGAGGAGCGCTCACTCTGCTGCAGCAGCGCAATCGAGAGGAGCGCAACCAAGAGGACCACAATCTACAGGAGCTCACTCGAGAGCAGAGCAGGAGAGAGCAGTGCAATCGACAGGAGAGCAATCGAGAGACCAGCAGAAGAGAGGAGCGCAATCGACAGGAGTACAATCGACAGGAGCTCATTGCAGAGGAGCGCAATTGACAGGAGCGCAAACGAGAGCAGAGCAAGAGACAAAAGCGCAATTGAGAGCAGAGCAGGAGAGAGGAGCGCAATCGACAGTAGTGCAAGAGAGAGCAGAGCGAGAGAGAGGAGCACAATTGAGAGGAGCGCAATCGACAGGAGTGCATTCGACAGGAGCTCAATCAAGAGCAGCGCAATCGAGAGGAGCTCAATCGAGAGCAGAGCAGGAGAGAGGAGCGCAATCAAGAGGAGCGCTCACTCTGCTGCAGCAGCACAATCTAGAGGAGCTCGATCGAGAGCAGCGCACACTTTGCTGGAGCAGCACAATCAAGAGGAGCGCACTGCTGGACAGCGTAATTAAGAGGAGCGCACTGCTTGACAGTGCCCACTCTGTCGGAGAGGCACAACTCAGAGCAGCATCAGAGCAGCGCAATCGAAAGCAGAGCAATCGAGAGGAGGGCAATCGAGTGAAGAGCAGCAGAGAGGAGCGCAATCGACAGGAGCGCAATCGAAAGAAGAGCAGAAGAGAGGAGCTCAATCGACAGGAGACCAATCGACCGGAGACCCATCGACAGGAGTGCAATCGACAGGAGAGCAATCTACAGGAGCGCAATCGAGAGCAGAGCAGTAGAGAGGAGCTCTATCGACAAGAGCGCAATCGACAGAAGTGCAATCGAGAGGAGCTCAATCGAGAGCAGAGCAAGAGAGAGGAGCGCAATTGACAGGAGTGCAATCGACAGGAGTGCAAGAGAGAGGAGCGCAAGAGAGAGGAGCGCAATCAAGAGGAGCGCTCACTCTGCTGGAGCAGCACAATCAAGAGCAGCGCAATCGACAGGAGCACAATCAAGAGGAGCGCAATCAAGACGAACGCAATCGACAGGAGCGCAATCGACAAAAGTGCAATCAACAGCAGCTCAATCGACAGGAGCGCAATCAAGAGGAGTGCAAACGACAGGAGCGAGCACTCTGCTGCAGCAGCGCAATCGAGAGGAGCGCAATCGAGAGGAGCGCAATTGACAGGAGCTCACTCGAGAGCATAGGAAGAGAGAGGAGCGCAATCAAGAGGAGCGCAATCAAGAGGAGCGCAATGGACAGGAGCTCATTGGAGAGGAGCGCAATTGACAGGAGCGCAATCGAGTGAAGAGCAGCAGAGAGGAGCGCAATCAAGAGGAGCGCAATCAAGAGGAGCGCAATGGACAGGAGCTCATTGGAGAGGAGCGCAATTGACAGGAGCGCAATCGAGTGAAGAGCAGCAGAGAGGAGCGCAATCAAGAGGAGCGCAATCAAGAGGATCACAATTAAGAGGAGCGCAATCAAGAGGAGTGCTATCAAGAGAAGAGCAATCGACAGTAGCACAATCGAAAGCAGAACAATCGACAGGAGCGCTGTAGAGAGGAGCGCAATCGAGAGCAGAGAAGGAGAGAGGAGCGCTCCACTGCTGGAGCAGCACAATTCAGAGGAGCTCAATCGACAGGAGTGCAATTGAGAGGAGCACAATTAAGAGGAGCGCAATGAAGAGGAGCGCAATGAAGAGGAGCGCAATCGAGAGATGAGCAGCAGTGAGGAGCGCAATCGACAGGAGTGCAATCGACAGGAGCGCAATCGACAGGAGCTCAATCAAGAGGAGCTCGATCGACAGGAGAGCAATCGAGAGAAGAGCAGCAGAGAGAAGTGCAATCGACAGGAGCTCATTGGAGAGGAGCGCAATCAACAGAAGCGCAATCAAGAGGAGTGAAAATGACAGGAGCTCAATCAACAGGAGCTCAACGAAGAGGAGTGCAAGAGAGAGGAGCGCAAACGAGAGGAGTGCTCGCTCTGCTGGAGCAGCACAATTGACAGGAGCGCAAATGAGAGGAGCGCAATTCGAAGCAGCGAACACTATGCTGGAGGAGCGCAAAAAAGAGTGCAATCGACAGGAGCTCATTCGACAAGAGCACAATCGACAGGAGCTCAATCGACTGGAGCGCTCACTCTGCTGCAGCAGCACAATCTAGAGGAGCTCGATCGAGAGCAGTGCACACTTTGCTGGAGCAGCACAATCAAGAGGAGTGCACTGCTGGACAGCACTCACTCTGCTGGAGGAGCACAAGTCGAAGGAGCACAAGACTAACTGTCATTTCAAACCCGATCTAACATTTGGAGCACATGGACCGACATTTATTTTTGACTTGAAATACAATCTAACATTACCAAGACACATCTGGAATTATGTGACCTCTATTTTGACCCAATATTTTCGCACCCTTTGTTAAATAGTTGAAGTAGATAAAGCTACACAAAGCGTAGAGACAGTGAAGGTAGTGCTTACGGCCGAGTAAAAGGCCTGAGCATCTTAGCATGGACCACATGTGTCACAACCTACTCAAGACAAATGCTTTGTTATGTTCCGCAGTCAATGCGGCTCTCTGCTGCTCTTCTTTTGTATATATATAGACTCCTTCTCTCTCCTCGCTCTCTCGCTCTCTCCCTCTTACCATCATCAACAAAACTCCTCAACTCCAACTACTGACAAATGACTTTAACTGATTAAGAGTCTGAAACTCAACGCAATGCCGCCATCAACAAGAGCTGGACAGATGGGAAGGGGCGATGATGATCAAACAACCACAGGCAACAGACAGGAGGAAGGATGGCTCATGCAGGTAGTCAGGATCCTCCAGCTGGCGAACCCAGCACTAACGGCCGAGGAAGCGATCGTGCGAGCTATGGGCCTCATCAGCATTAGCAACCAGACCCTGCGCAGGGAGACTGAGAAGATCCCCAAGGAGGTGTCGAGCGCCATTGTGCACATCAAAAAGCTCAGCGACAGCAACTGGCACACTTGGGAACCTACCTTCATTGACTGCCTCCAAAGAGTACATAATGCGAAGGAGATACTGTATGGCACGGTGGCGCCTGGAAACGAGGAATACGACGAAGACTTGGATAAAGCCCTCATGGGCCTCATCCATGCCTGCTGCGACAACAGTCCAGACAGCTGTATCGACACCTACACCATCAGGGGAGCGGATGAAGAAGTCCAGCTCGGTAGCACACTCTATGCCAAACTCAAGAAGGCACTAACACTGAATGACGCTGTAAAGCGAGCAGGACTGCAGGATCGTATTCACACAGTGCGCTTGCACAATCGAGACGTTGTCAGGCTAGGCAAGGAACTTGATTCGATCTGGAACAATGCAGCATGCCTGGGAAAGCATTTTGACGAGGACCTCAAGAAATCAACTCTCTATCGCTGCACGGCCCAAGATTGGTTCTATGCCAATGCCGTTGACGCACTGAAGATGGCCAGACCAGACTGTAAGTATGATGAAGCCTACCATGCACTCGCCAAGAAACAGCAGGATGGTGAGGTCACTGGCCATATTAGAGGAGCAGCAAGGGTGGCCACAAGCATGGAACAGGGGAGCACCAACCAGGCAGAGCAAGGACCCAGGGGCAGGCACAATCCTCACAACCCCTCGGCCCCCCCAAAGTGCTATGCTTGTGGAGGACCTAATCACATTGCTCGGAACTGTACAAACACCAACAATAACCCCACACCAAGTAGGGACGGACCCACCACCAATCCAGCACAAGAAGCGAGTCGGTAGGAACTCGGGTGCACCCTCCTAGCGATCAGCGGGGATGAGCAACCAACATCGGACACCTGGATTGTTGATTCGGGTGCAATGCACCACATGGTGAATGATGAAAGAATGCTGCTCACCTCGACGCGCAAGGACAGTCAGATCTGTATGGCTGGAAATGAAAGGCTTCAAGTGAAGGCCATAGGAGATGCCTCCCTTCGGGTTGGCGATGTAACCATTCAGCTATTGGATGTGCTCTATGTGCCGAAACTTAATTCTAATTTATTATCAGTACAAGGCTTGATCGAGAATGGTGCATGGGTAACTTTCGATGAGTTTGGAACCATCATTAAGCAAAATGACAGCACACAAATACAATACAAGAGGAACAGAAGAAAAGGGTGGTTCGAAGTACAGGGAAAGGCACTAGCCCTAGCCCTAGCCGGTGTGTCTTGCTTGCGGGCAACGCACAATTGCGCTCCGCCAAAATCGAAATTCACGCGACTGCGTTGACCCCCAACGCACTCGAAATTTACACTGCTCAAGTGCCGCAATGCAAACAAATTTATTTTTGCTGGAGCAGCGCAAATTGAGCAACGCACAGCTGGAGCAACGCACACTCTGCTGGAGCAACGCAATCTGAGCAGCGCACAGCTCGAGAGCAACGCACTGTTCGAGAGCAACGCACAGCTCAAGAGCAACACACAGCTCAAGAGCAACGCACAGCTGGAGCAACGCAATCTGAGAAGCGCAATCTCATCAGCGAACTGCTGGACAGCGCACACTCTGTCGGAGCAGCACAATTGAGAGCAGCGCAATTGAGAGGAGCGCAATCGAGAGGAGCGCTCACTCTGCTGGAGCAGCACAATCGACATGAGCGCAATCAAGACGAACGCAATCGACAGGAGCGCAATCGAGAGGAGACCAATCGACAGGAGTGCAATCGACCGGAGACCCATCGACAGGAGCGCAATTGACAGGAGAGCAATCTACAGGAGCGCAATCGAGAGCAGAGCAGTAGAGAGGAGCTCTATCAACAAGAGCGCAATCGACAGAAGTGCAATCGAGAGGAGCTCAATCGAGAGCAGAGCAAGAGAGAGGAGCGCAATTGACAGGAGTTCAATTGACAGGAGTGCAAGAGAAAGAAGCGCAAGAGAGAGGTGAGCAATCGACAGAAGCACAATCAAAAGGAGCGCAATCGACAGGAGCACAATAAAGAGGAGTGCAATCAACAGGAGCGAGCACTCTGCTGCAGCAGCGCAATCGAGAGGAGCGCAATCACGAGCAGAGCAGGAGAGAGGAGCACAATCGACAGTAGCACAAGAGAGAGCAGAGCAGGAGAGAGCAGCGCATTCGAAAGTAGCGCAAGAGAGAGCAGAGCGAGAGAGAGGAGCGTAATCGACAGGAGAGCAATCTAGAGACGAGCAGCAGAGAGGAGCGCAATCGACAGGAGTGCATTCGACAGGAGCACAATCGAAAGGAGCTCAATGGACAGGAGCTCAATGGACAGGAGAGCAATCGACAGGAGAGCAATCGACAGGAGCTCACTCGAGAGCAGAGCAGGAGAGAGGAGCGCAATCGACAGTAGCGCAAGAGAGAGCAGAGCGAGAGAGAGGAGCGCAATTGAGAGGAGCGCAATCTAGAGACGAGCAGCAGAGAGGAGCGCAATCGACAGGAGTGCATTCGACAGGAGCACAATCGAAAGGAGCTCAATGGACAGGAGCTCAATGGACAGGAGAGCAATCGACAGGAGAGCAATCGACAGGAGCTCACTCAAGAGCAGAGCAGGAGAGAGGAGCGCAATCGAAAGGAGCGCAATCGAGCACAGAGCAATCGAGAGGAGCGCAATCGACAGCAGTGCAAACGAGAGGAGCGCAATCGCGAGCAGAGCAATCGAGAGGAGCGCAATCGCGAGCAGAGCAATCGAGAGGAGCGCAATCGACAGCAGCGCAATCGACAGGACCGCTCATTCTGCTGGAGCAGCACAATCTGGAGCAGCGCAATCGACAGGAGAGCAAGCGACAGGAGCTCACTCAAGAGCAGAGCAGGAGAGAGGAGCGCAATCGAAAGGAGCGCAATCGAGCACAGAGCAATCGAGAGGAGCGCAATCGCGAGCAGAGCAATCGAGAGGAGCGCAATCGCGAGCAGAGCAATCGAGAGGAGCGCAATCGACAGCAGCGCAATCGACAGGACCGCTCATTCTGCTGGAGCAGCACAATCTGGAGCAGCGCAATCGACAGGAGAGCAAGCGACAGGAGCGCAAGAGAGAGGAGAGCAATCAACAGGAGCGCAAGAGAGGAGTGAAATCGACAGGAGCTCGATTGAGAGAAGAACACTATGCTGGAGGAGCGCAATCGAGAGAAGAGCAGGAGAGAGTAGCTCTATTGACAGGAGTGCAATCAACAGGTGGGCAATCGACAGGAGTGCAATCAAGAGCAGAGCAAGAGAGAGTAGCGCAATCAAGAGCAGCGCGAGAGAGAGCAGAACGATCGACAGGAGCGCAATCGAGAGCAGCGCAATTGAGAGGAGTGCATTTGAGAGGAGCTCACACTCTGCTGGAGCAGCACAATCTGGAGGAGCTCTATCGACAGGAGCGCTCACTCTGCTGGAGAAGCACAATCGAAGGAGCAAACACTCTGCTAGAGCAGCGCAATCGACAGGAGCGCAAATCGAGCGCAATTAAGAGGAGCACAATCGACAGGAGTGCAATCGACAGGAACTCAATCAAGAGCAGTGCAATCGAGAGGAGCTCAATCGAGAGAAGCGCACACTCTGCTGGAGAAGCACAATCGACAGGAGCGCAAATCGAGCGCAATTAAGAGGAGCGCAATCGACAGGAGTGCAATCGACAGGAGCTCAATCAAGAGCAGCGCAATCGACAGGAGCTCAATCGAGAGCAGAGCATTCGACAGGAGCACTCACTCTGCTGCAGCAGAGTAATCGACAGGAGCGCAATCAAGAGAAGAGCAATTGGCAGGAGCTCTATCGACAGGAGTGCAATCGACAGGAGCGCAATTGACAGGAGCTGATTGGAGAGAAGCGCAATCCACAGGAGCGCAATCGAGAAACGAGCAGCAGAGAGGAGCGCAATCGACAGGAGTGCATTCGACAGGAGCTCAATCAAGAGCAGCGCAATTGACAGGAACTCAATCGAGAGCAGAGCAATCGACAGGAGCGCATTCTAGAGAAGGGCAGCAGAGAGGAGCGCTCACTCTGCTGGAGTAGCACAATCGAAAGGAGCGCAATCGACAGGAGCTCAATCAACAGGAGCACAAGAGAGAGCAGAACGAGAGAGAGGAGCGCAATTAAGAGGAGCGCAAATCGACAGTAATGCAAAAGAGAGCAGAGCAAGAGAGAGGAGAGCAATCGACAGGAGTGCAACTAAGAGGAGCTCAATCGAGAGCAGAGCAAGAGAGAGGAGTGAAATTAAGACGAACGCAATCAACAGGAGAGGAAGAGAGAGCAGCGCAGGAGAGAGCAGAGCGAGAGAGAGGAGCGCAATTGAGAGGAGTGCAATCGAGAGGAGCTCAATCGACAGGAGCGCAATTGACAGGAGCACAATCAAGAGGAGTGCAATCGAGAGAAGAGCAGCAGAGGGGAGCGCAATCAAGCGGAGCGCAATCAAGAGGGGCGCAATCAAGAGGAGTGCAATGGAGAGGAGCGCAAGAGAGAGCAGAACAGGAGAGAGGAGCTCAATCGACAGGAGCACAACTGAGAGCAGAACAATCGACAGGAGCGCAATCAACAGGAGCGCAATCGAGAGCAGAACAAGAGAGAGGAGCGCAATCAACAGGAGCGCAACTGAGAGCAGAGCAATCGACAGGACCGCTCATTCTGCTGGAGCAACACAATCGACAGGAGCGCAAACGAGAGTAGCGCAATTCGAAGCAGTGAACACTATGCTGGAGCAGCACAATCGAGAGAAGAGCGAGAGAGAGGAGCTCTATCGACAGGAGCTCAATCAAGAGGAGGGCAATCGAGAGGAGCTCAATTGACAGGAGCGCAATCGAGAGCAGAGCAAGAGAGAGGAGCTCTATCGACAAGAGCGCAATTGACAGAAGTGCAATCGATAGAAGCGCAATCGAAAGGAGCGCAATCAAGAGGAGCACAATGGACAGGAGAGCAATCGAGAGGAGCGCAATCGAGAGCAGAGCATCAGAGCGGAGTGCAATCGACAGGAGGTCATTTCAGAGGAGCTCAATTGACAGGAGCGCAATCGAGAGACGAGCAGCAGAGAGGAGTGCAATCGACAGGAGCGCAAGAGAGAGGAGGGCAATGAAGAGGAGTGCAATTAAGAGGAGTGCAATGGAGTGGAGCTCAATCAAGAGCAGCACAATCGACAGGAGCGCAATCGACAGGAGTGCATTCGACAGGAGCGCAATCGAGAGCAGAGCAATGGACAGGAGCGCAATCAAGAGGAGCGCAATGGACAGGAGCTCATTGGAGAGGAGCGCAATTGACAGGAGCGCAATCGAGAGATGAGCAGCAGTGAGGAGCGCAATCGACAGGAGTGCAATCGACAGGAGCGCAATCGACAGGAGCTCAATCAAGAGGAGCTCGATCGACAGGAGAGCAATCGAGAGAAGAGCAGCAGAGAGAAGTGCAATCGACAGGAGCTCATTGGAGAGGAGCGCAATCGACAGGAGCGCAATCGAAAGAAGAGCAGAAGAGAGGAGCTCAATCGACAGGAGACCAATTGACCGGAGACCCATTGACAGGAGCGCAATCGACAGGAGAGCAATCTACAGGAGCGCAATCGAGAGCAGAGCAGTAGAGAGGAGCTCTATCGACAAGAGCGCAATCGACAGAAGTGCAATCGAGAGGAGCTCAATCGAGAGCAGAGCAAGAGAGAGGAGCGCAATTGACAGGAGTGCAATCAACAGGAGTGCAAGAGAGAGGAGCGCAAGAGAGAGGAGCGCAATTGAGAGGAGCACAATAGAGAGGAGCACAATAGAGAGGAGCACAATCGAGAGGAGCACAATCGACAGGAGCTGTATTGACAGGAGCGCAGGAGAGAGGTGAGCAATCAACAGGAGCGCAAGAGAGAGGAGTGCAATTGACAGGAGCTCTATCGACAGGAGCGCAATCGAGAGTAGCGCAATTGAGAGGAGCGCAATTGAGAGGAGTGCAATCGAGAGCAGCGCAATTGAGAGCAGAGCAAGAGAGAGGAGCGCAATCGAGAGGAGCGCTCACTCTGCTGGAGCAGCACAATCAAGAGCAGCGCAATCGACAGGAGCTCTATCGACAGGAGCGCAATCGACAGGGGCTCATTGGAGAGGAGCGCAATCGACAGGAGCGCAATCAAGAGAAGAGCAGAAGAGAGGAGCTCAATCAACAGGAGACCAATCGACAATTAAAATGCTGGCTCAATGAGCCAAATTGGTTCACTGGTTGCTGAGATACAAATTGCTGCCTGCCAAATAATCAGAGGCGTGTTTTTGCTTGTGTGTCCAATCTCACTGATATTTCGGATCTCGCCAATTTTTCTGGCCGATATTTTCGATCTCGCCAATTTATCCAATTTATCTGATCTTGCTGATCGTTCCAATTTTTCCGATCTCATCGATTTTTCTGATCTTGCCGATTTTTCCAGCCGATATTTTCGATCTTGCTGATTTATCCGATTTATCCGATCTTGCTGATCGTTCCGATTTCTCACGATCTCGCCGATTTTTCGGATTTTTTCGATCTTGTCGATTTTTCCGATCTCGCTGATTTTTCCGGCTGATATTTTCGATCTTGCCGATTTATCTGATCTGTCCGATTTGACTGCCGCTGGCCAAAGATTCTGGCGCGTGTTTTCGCGAGTGTGTCTGACGCGTGTTTTTTGATGTGGTCTAACATTTCTTAAAAAGATGCGTGTCTCACGCGTAGGTCTAACATGTCAAAATTTACATGCGAAAAAAGACACGCCGACACCCAACACGAAATTACGAGGCGACATGCAGGCGAAATGCGATGCGTATTTTCGCGACCC